GTGCCCACAAACAGTTAGGGCCTGTAAGGGTTGGTGTGAGGTGTGACCCAGGTGCGGTGCTGGTTAGACAGTAGGCAGTAGGCAGAGATGGTGAAACAAGGAACTTTACTGATGGTCCCGAAGCCAGGATACAAAATAATGGACTTTACACGAAAAAGAAAGGCGGAGCAAATAATAATACTAACTATGACTGAAATAATAAATAAACAGGGAGAACACTTCTCACGTACCTGTCCATACAGTGGGGAGAACAAGTATTTGATACACTGCCGATTTTGCAGGTTTTCCTACTTGCAAAGCATGTAGAGGTCTGTAATTTTTATCATAGGTACACTTCAACTGTGAGAGACGGAATCTAAAACAAAAATCCAGAAAATCACATTGTATGATTTTTAAGTAATTAATTTGCATTTTATTGCATGACATAAGTATTTGATACATCAGAAAAGCATAACTTAATATTTGGTACAGAAACCTTTGTTTGCAATTACAGAGATCATACGTTTCCTGTAGGTCTTGACCAGGTTTGCACACACTGCAGCAGGGATTTTGGCCCACTCCTCCATACAGACCTTCTCCAGATCCTTCAGGTTTCGGGGCTGTCGCTGGGCAATACAGACTTTCAGCTCCCTCCAAAGATTTTCTATTGGGTTCAGGTCTGGAGACTGGCTAGGCTGGCTGTGTGTTTCGGGTCGTTGTCATGCTGGAAGACCCAGCCACGACCTATCTTCAATGCTCTTACTGAGGGAAGGAGGTTGTTGGCCAAGATCTCGCGATACATGGCCCCATCCATCCTCCCCTCAATACGGAGCAGTCGTCCTGTCCCCTTTGCAGAAAAGCATCCCCAAAGAATGATGTTTCCACCTCCATGCTTCACGGTTGGGATGGTGTTCTTGGGGTTGTACTCATCCTTCTTCTTCCTCCAAACACAGTGAGTGGAGTTTAGACCAAAAAGCTCTATTTTTGTCACATCAGACCACATGACCTTCTCCCATTCCTCCTCTGGATCATCCAGATGGTCACTGGCAAACTTCAGACGGGCCTGGACATGCGCTGGCTTGAGCAGGGGGACCTTGCGTGCGCTGCAGGATTTTAATCCATGACGGCGTACTGTGTTACTAATGGTTTTCTTTGAGACTGTGGTCCCAGCTCTCTTCAGGTCATTGACCAGGTACTGCTGTGTAGTTCTGGGCTGATCCCTCACCTTCCTCATGATCATTGATGCCCCACGAGGTGAGATCTTGCATGGAGCCCCAGACCGAGGGTGATTGACCGTCATCTTGAACGTCTTCCATTTTCTAATAATTGCGCCAACAGTTGTTGCCTTCTCACCAAGCTGCTTGCCTATTGTCCTGTAGCCCATCCCAGCCTTGTGCAGGTCTACAATTTTATCCCTGATGTCCTTACACAGCTCTCTGGTCTTGGCCATTGTGGAGAGGTTGGAGTCTGTTGATTGAGTGTGTGGACAGGTGTCTTTTATACAGGTAACGAGTTCAAACAGGTGCAGTTAATACAGGTAATGAGTGGAGAACAGGAGGGCTTCTTAAAGAAAAACTAACAGGTCTGTGAGAGCCGGAATTCTTACTGGTTGGTAGGTGATCAAATACTTATGTCATGCAATAAAATGCAAATTAATTACTTAAAAATCATACAATGTGATTTTCTGGATTTTTGGCCTCTCACAGTTGAAGTGTACCTATGATAAAAATTACAGACCTCTACATGCTTTGTAAGTAGGAAAACCTACTAAATCGGCAGTGTATCAAATACTTGTTCTCCCCACTGTACGTCCCGTGATCAGACACTGATTAGGACTGTGAGCCACTCCTGTAACAAGGGCCTACATAAAGCTGTCCCAACAGCAGAGCTTTCTTTTCAGCACCATGGAGTGAATCCTTACCACAGCTACACCTGGCTATCAGCGGAGCCTTGTCTGGCAGCGAAACAGGTAAGTCACCCTCATTTACTGTCTTTTAAAAAAACATAGCTGATATGACTGACTTGCTTAAACAAATGTGGTTTCTACTGACAATTGAGATGTACAAATTATGGCATAAGGGGACGACGAGTGGATTAGAGGCGATCCATAATTTCGATTAAGATATTAATGAGCGAGCTAGGACTTACGTAGTCAATATAACTATTTGTACAGTGACAGAATTCAGAACATGGGCCGTTCTTACAGTATTCTCCCTGTACAACAAGTCAGAACCGTAGGATAAATAAAGGGGGCATATAAGCAGACAATTAAAGCTTTTACAATATTTCTCTAAAACAGGCCATAGGCTACATGTTCACCTCCAAGTCAGAACAGTAGGCTAAGTTATGAGGGGGAAAGGGACCAAATTATTAGGGTGAGGCACATGGGCTACTAACAGCTTACTACACAACTTAGTATTACTTTCTTAGCTACAGTATACATATCTCCCTGGCATATTACATCATTTATGCAGCAGCATACAATACATTTTTGGACTCACCTTGTTGTGCTGTGCTCACTTGAACAGGATTTTGTCATCAAACTTTGTCATCAAAGTCTGTCATTCTCTGGATTTATTCTGCTTTCAAGACAACTGGGAACTCAGAAAAAAACAAGGTCGAATCATGACGTCAGTGATCTTCAGGTCGGAGCTCTAGAAAGAGGCTTGAGTTCCCGACTTGGAATTCCAAGTTGGATGACCGTTCAAAACTTATTTTACCGATACTTTTTATCTATAATTTCTCTTCATATGACAAGGATTGAAAAGGATTTGCCAGTAGATTGTCGACTTGATTCATGATGATGACTGCTTGTCTAGCTTGCTAGCTAAGATTTTGAAAGTATGATGTTGACATGATCAGTCCAATCAAAGCTACGGTAGATATAATGTGATTTGACGTCATTTTATCTGTGGCCAATGACCTTGAGCCTTCTTGGATGGGCACTTCTAATGTAACTCTATGGCAGCACCCAAGGGGCTTGAATTTTTGAGCTCTCCCGTAGATGTTGTGGTGACGTAGTGTCCCCATGAGTGGCAGAACACTGAGCCAATCACGGCGCAACTAGAGAACATTACCAACCCCTGCGCTCCGTATTTTCCGCTGGCTGTCCCACCACCACAGAAAGCACTGAGCTAGGCTGAAACACCGGAATTTTGTAGCTGCCTTACTCAAGAAAGCAAAAAAGAGAACATGTTTGTATACGGCTTTATTAACTTAAGGATTTTTTTTTTACATTGCAAACTGATATGTGACACGTATTAATGCCAAAATAACATGCAAAACAGGCAACAAAAACAACAGGTTTCTAGAAATTTTGGCTAATGTATTAAAAAGAAAAAACTGAAATGTCACATGTACATAAGTATTCAGACCCTTTACTCAGTACTTTGTTGAAGCACCTTTGGCAGCGATTGCAGCCTCAAGTCTTCTTGGGTATGACACTACAAGCTTGTCACACCTGTATTTGGGGAGTTTCTCCCATTCTTCTCTGCAGATCCTCTCAAGCTATGTCAGGTTGGATGGGGAGTGTCGCTGCACAGCTATTTTCAGGTATCTCCAGAGATGTTAGATCGGGTCCAATTCTGGGCTCTGGCTGGGCCACTCAAGGACATTCAGAGACTTGTCCCGAAGCCACTCCTGCGTTGTCTTGGCTGTATGTTTAGGATCTTTGTCCTGTTGGAAGGTGAACCTTTGCCCCAGTCTGATGTCCTGAGTGCTCTGGAGCAGGTTTTCATCAAGGATCTCTCTGTACTGTGCTGCGTTCATCTTTCCCTAGATCCTGACTAGAATCCAAGTCCCTGCCGCTGAAAAACATCCCCATAGCATGATGCTGCCACCACCATGCTTCACCGTAGGGATGGTGCCAGGTTTCCTCCGGACGTCACGCTTGGCATTCAGGCCAAAGAGTTCAATCTTGGTTTCATCAGACCAGAAAATCTTGTTTCTCATGGTCTGAGAGTCCTTTAGGGGCCTTTTGGCAAACTCCAAGCGGGCTGTCATGTGCTTTTTACTGAGGAGTGGCTTCCATCTGGCCACTCTACCATAAAGGCCTGATTGGTGGAGTGCTGCAGAGATGGTTGTCCTTCTGGAAGGTTCTCTAATCTCCACAGAGGAGCTCTGGAGCTCTGTCAGAGTGACCAATGGGTTCTTGGTCACCTCCTTGACCAAGGCCCTTCTCCCCCGATTGCTCAGTTTTGCCGGGCGGCCAGCTCTAGGAAGAGTCTTGGTGGTTCCAAACTTTTTCCATTTAAGAATGGACAATCTTGTCTCTGAGCTCTATGGACAATTCCTTCGACCTCATGGCTTGGTTTTTGCTCTGACATACACTGTCAACTGTGGGACCTTTATATAGACAGGTGTGTGCCTTTCCAAATCATGTCCAATCAATTGAATTTACCACAGGTGGACTTTTTCGATTTGTCATTATGGGGTATTGTGTGAGAAAAATAAATAATTTAATACATTTTCGAATAAGGCTGTCACGGAACAAAATGTGGAAAAAGGAAAGGGGTCTGAATAAATTAAAATGGTCATGGAATTACCCATATACCTTTTATGTGGAAATGCCCTATTCACATCAATATATTTTTCGGCCCCTATCAGGTTACATTCAGACGAGTCCAGTGAAACTTGTGGGGGGTCCTAGAGCAAAACGGAGAACACCATTGTGTTCATGAGTCTAATCAATCCATAGAGGGGTCATATTAGTGTGTAGCAGAAACCGTTCGGACGCTACAGCCGTTTTTGTGAGAACACCGATTTTCAGGATGTCGGCTGGTCTGACAAACACAGCTGTTGCCACCTTCCACCGTTGTCACTAGTTACCTCAGCCACAAAGTCCAAATTGTCTGTATCATAAAAACTAATGAAAACAAAAATGAGCTTTTTGGTCTTTTTGGTTAGGGTTAGGCATAAAGTTAGCAGTGTGGTTAGGGGTTATGGTTAGGGTTAGGTTTAAAATCAGATTTTAAGTAGATAAATTGTAGAAATAGACGGGATTTAGACATAATTATAACCTTGTGGCTGTAGTAACTAGTGACGACGGATGCGGTGGAATGACAACAAACAAACAAAAACAAAAATACATCTCTAGTTTAAACAGAGATATTGGTGCTGAGTTATTTTTTTCTTTATAGTTATCTACTCATGTTCAATAATTTCAATATTTTTTTATTAAAGTGGCTGGGCTTTGTTTAACCATTTCCATTCTGTTTTATGCCAGCGACATCAAATAACCACACAGGTGAGCAATCTGATTCATTTGACACATCTGATTTCAAGTGCAGGGATTCCCATGTATTTGACAAGTGGTATTTGTTTATTTTTCTTTGAAGCTGAGTTGAGTAGGCCTACTTCAATCCCCACTGTGATACCCACCACTCTGTGATGGCCACAATATGCCTGGTTGGACCAGCTTTGAGGGTCTGCCCTTGACCAACTGCTTAGATTGTCATTAGAATGTACTCCCTGCCAGACAGTCAGGTTCCTCCCAGGCCTACCTTGGAAGCTTTTCCTTGCTACTGCTTCTGCTTGCTCTTTGCACCTTTAGGCCTGGGTTTCTGTTAACACTTTGTGACAAATGTATTAGCAAAATGGCCATGTCTATACAATTTCTATGATTTATCATAATTTATTTGACATGAACTGTGTTCCCTTTTAATGTGCCTTTCCAAGTGGATACATAGGGAGAGTATGTCCATGAGATTGATTAGTATTTTATTAGGATCTCCATTAGCTGCTGCTAAAGCAGTAGCCATTCTTCCTGGGGTCCACACAAAACATAAAAGAATACAGAACATTAGTAGTCAAGAACAGCTCAAGGACAGAACTAAATAAATGTAAAATAAGACATACACTTTCACTACTCAGTTCTCATGACATGAACATAGCATTGTCTCATGAATCATGTGGAGTTCCCCTGACGTGAACATAGCCACATTAATGGTAAGTTATTCTACCTAATGGTAAGACTGCCAGTGTGTTCATGGCTTATGACATGTTCATATGCTATCTGAACAGAGCACGAATCATAGGCTAAGTTCCCCTGACATGAACATACAGTAGCTACATATCATACGGCATATAGAGCTTCACTGAAAGTCCTTTGCTCTCGCTAAATTCCCCTGACGTGAATAAAGCTACCTTGTCATTTACAGGTACCACCCATAATGGGTCTCCTGGGGTAAAATATAGTCTTATTACAGTTACCACCCATAATGGGTCTCCTGGGGTAAAATATAGTCTTATTACAGTTACCACCCATAATGGGTCTCCTGGGGTAAAATGTATGGGTCTCCTGGAATTTCTTGCATTACAGTTACCACCCGTAATGATGATGAGGGGAAACCAGCAAGCCTTCTAATAGTCTATCTTGGATGCCTAACTGGGCTCGTGGCACTGGTGGCCTGCTCTCTCATTCTGTGTAAGCTAAACAGGATCTCTTCAAGTTCAGGAATCAACATTGAACAAACTCGTTGTTTTTAAGTAACTAACCTATCACCTCTCTCATTTCCTTTCCAGATCAAATTTATGGAATGCACTCAAACTCCCACTTCACTGAGCTGCTGAAGGCCCCTGAGGTCCCTGTGTCAGTGCTGGTGGTGTACCCTGCAGAAAACCCTGTCTTCCAGAGAGCTGTGCTAGCTTTTGCTGAGTTCCTCCAGTGGCATGGTGGCTGCCAGGTGGCTATCGACATGTGGCAGCGTGGCAGGCTGGCAGAGCAGGGCCCGATGCGTTGGCTAGCAGAACAGGCCAAATCCGCAGCCAGGGTGATGGTAATAAGCCCGCAGCCCAACCACTGCCACACTGGCCCAGGGGAACACGCCGTACCAGCCGCAGCTCACGACCTGTTCTCTCTGGTGCTCAACATGGTGGCAGGCCACGCTCCGAGCCCCAACGAGCTGGCCAAGTTCTGGTTGGTGCACCTGGGCAAGGCCCCGGAGAAGAGCGGCCTACCTGTGGAATTGACGTCCTGTAGGGAATTTAGTCTGATGAGGGACTTGGAGAAACTCTGCAGACACTTGCATCAGCAGGGCACCAAAAGACCAGGGTTGGCCTATGGGGAGAAGGCGACAGGGAAGCTGATGGAGGCTGTGCAGCAGTTAGAGGCATGGTAATGCTCTCAGCCCGGAGTTGCAGTAGAGGCAGCTCTTTTGACCAAATTGATGGCTAGACTTTAAGAACCTGATGATGCTGGTGTGATGACAAACCCATAGCTTAGATAGTAATATGAAAATAATCTAAGTAAAAACTCTCTTTGACCACTCATAGAACAATGGGTCTGCAAAAATGAGGGCAAGCTAACTTTTCTCACATAGCTTTAAGATTACTTTTTAAATACAGTGGGGAGATCAAGTATTTGATACACTGCCGATTTTGCAGGTTTTCCTACTTACAAAGCATGTAGAGGTCTGTAATTTTTATCATAGGTACACTTCAACTGTGAGAGACGGAATCTAAAACATAAATCCAGAAAATCACATTGTATGATATTTAAGTAATTAATTTGCATTTTATTGCATGACATAAGTATTTGATCACCTACCAACCAGTAAGAATTCCGGCTCTCACAGACCTGTTAGTTTTTCTTTAAGAAGCCCTCCTGTTCTCCACTCATTACCTGTATTAACTGCACCTGTTTGAACTCGTTACCTGTATAAAAGACACCTGTCCACACACTCAATCAAACAGACTCCAACCTCTCCACAATGACCAAGACCAGAGAGCTGTGTAAGGACATCAGGGATAAAATTGTAGACCTGCACAAGGCTGGGATGGGCTACAGGACAATAGGCAAGCAGCTTGTTGAGAAGGCAAGAACTGTTGGCGCAATTATTAGAAAATGGAAGAAGTTCAAGATGACGGTCAATCACCCTCGGTCTGGGGCTCCATGCAAGATCTCACCTTGTGGGGCATCAATGATCATGAGGAAGGTGAGGGATCAGCCCAGAACTACACGGCAGGACCTGGTCAATGACCTGAAGAGAGCTGGGACCACAGTCTCAAAGAAAACCATTAGTAACACACTACGCCGTCATGGATTAAAATCCTGCAGCGCTCGCAAGGTCCCCCTGCTCAAGCCAGTGCATATCATAGGTACACTGTAGCCCATCCCAGCCTTGTGCAGGTCTACAATTTTATCCCTGATGTCCTTACACAGCTCTCTGGTCTTGGTCATTGTGGAGAGGTTGGAGTCTGTTTGATTGAGTGTGTGGACAGGTGTCTTTTATACAGGTAACGAGTTCAAACAGGTGCAGTTAATACAGGTAATGAGTGGAGAACAGGAGGGCTTCTTAAAGAAAAACTAACAGGTCTGTGAGAGCCGGAATTCTTACTGGTTGGTAGGTGATCAAATACTTATGTCATGCAATAAAATGCAAATTAATTACTTAAATATCATACAATGGGATTTTCTGGATTTTTGTTTTAGATTCCGTCTCTCACATTTGAAGTGTACCTATGATAAAAATGACAGACCTCTACATGCTTTGTAAGTAGGAAAACCTGCAAAATCGGCAGTGTATCAAATACTTGTTCTCCCCACTGTAGTTCAATATGTTATTTTTCATCAAATGTTTCTGTTTTGGAAATGAAACAAATATTTGATTGTTGAAACAAATATTTGATTGTTCCAATATTATTGGATTATTGACTAACTTTAATGAGTATACAATATTACACTATGTATTTTTTCTTTATAAAGCTTTGCAGTACCATATATTGTATAAGATGCGCATTTTCACACACTGAATTAAATAGAAAATCAGATCAAAGACCATGGTTATCATGGTTCTACAAAAACAACATATGGGTTTCACATGCTTATAAATATGTGTCTATACTTGCTTACTATGGAATTACTTTTCCCCTGATTTCTACTGAACAAAAATATAAACACAACATTCAACGATTTCAAAGAGTTACAGTTCATATGAGGAAATCAGTCAATTGAAATAAATTAATTAGACTATAATCTATGGATTTCATGACTGGGAATACAGATATGCATCTGTTGGTCACAGATACCTTTAAAAAAATGGGCCTCAGGATTTTCTCACGGTATTTTTGTGCATTCAAATTGCCATCGATAAAATGCAATTGTGTTCATTGTCCGTAGCTTATGCCTGCCCATACCATAACCCCACCGCCACCATGGGGCACTCTGTTCACAACGTTGACATCAGAAAACTGCTCGCCCACACGACGCCATACACATGGTCTGCGGTTGTGAGGCCAGTTGGACGTACTGTCAAATTCTCTAAAACAATATTGGAGGCAGCTTATGGTAGAGAAATGAACATTCAATTCTCTGGCAACAGCTCTGGTGTATATTCCTGCAGTCAGCATGCCAATTGCACGCTCCCTCAAAACTTGAGACATCTGTGGCATTATGTTGTGTGACAAAACTGCACATTTTAGAGTGGCCTTTTATTGTCCCCAGCACAAGATGCACCTGTGTAATGATCATGGTGTTTAATCAGCTTATTGATATGCCACGCCTGTCAGGTGGATGGATTATCTTAGAAAATGAGAAATGCTCACTAACAGGGATGTAAACAAATTTGTGCACAAAATTTGAGAGAAATAAGCTTTTTGTGTGTATGGAAAATTTCTGGGATCTTTTATTTCAGCTCATGAAAAATGGGACCAACACTTTACATGTTGCGTTTATATTTTTGTTCAGTATACATACAGGACACCACTGCTCCAGTCATCTCTTTCTCCCTTTGTGATGTCATATGGTGTTCCTGTTTAGGCACCAGGCCAGTTGAGTGCAGGTGGGCTCTCCGTCAACATGAGGCTCTTGCTGGTCCCACCCCAAGTCAAATCAAATCAAATCAAATTGTATTGGTCACATGCGCCGAATACAACAGGTGCAGACATTACAGTGAAAAGCTTACTTACAGCCCTTAACCAACAGTGCATTTATTTTTAACAAAAAAAGTAAAAATAAAACAACAACAAAAAAAGTGTTGAGAAAAAAAGAGCAGAAGTAAAATAAAATAACAGTAGGGAGGCTATATATACAGGGGGGTACCGGTGCAGAGTCAATGTGCGGGGGCACCGGCTAGTTGAGGTAGTTGAAGTAATATGTACATGTGGGTAGAGTTAAAGTGACTATGCATAAATAATTAACAGAGTAGCAGCTGCGTAAAAAGGATGGGGTGGGGGGGCAGTGCAAATAGTCCGGATAGCCATGATTAGCTGTTCAGGAGTCTTATGGCTTGGGGGTAGAAGCTGTTGAGAAGTCTTTTGGACCTAGACTTGGCACTCCGGTACCGCTTGCCGTGCGGTAGCAGAGAGAACAGTCTATGACTAGGGTGGCTGGAGTCTTTGACAATTTTGAGGGCCTTCCTCTGACAGGTACACACATACACAGGTACACCCACACAAACCACTAAGTTTCCAACATGACCTGACGTGTGTGCGTGTGTGTGTTACAGGAGGAGTTGAAGATGGAGCATGCCTCGTACCAGCGGCAGCACCCAGAGCTCTACGCCATGATGGGCGACTTGCAGTTCCTGTTACTATGAAAACCAAGCGACGTCATCATGTTCAGACAGGAGGACTTCTTTGCCTCCCGCCGACCCCCGGGGGGCACCTTCAACACTTCCTCACCTTAAGGACACACACTGTGGCTGCGTCTGTGTCTCAATAGTCTAGTAGCTTCCTTTCACATACATTTTAGAGAGGACAATACTATTCTGGTTAACACTTGTCACTAGTATGTACAGAGACCCTCAAGATCTAGAGTATTGATAAAATATGAATGCTTTTGTGGATGTTTTGTTTTTTATTTTGTGAAACTGTTTTTACTGTCTTGTTTGTATGAGGTGCACTGAAACAAACTCCAATCAGCTCCGTTGATATGGCAATCGGAAGAGTTACAGTTATGTCAGTTGGTTTGAATGAAAATAGTATATTATTTCATGTCTTGTACATTTCCCATGCTTAATTTCTGTCACTTTATCCTCTAGTGGGAATTCCAGTAACTGCTACTTTGCTTTGGCTCTGATGTGATCAACCCATACATTTTTTAAGAATAAATGTATAAAATATATTTAAAATGGCAGAAAGACAAAATGTTCATTTATTGGAAGGCAGAGGACACATCTCAAACCATTTTAGTGCAAATGAAAAGCAACATTTCATACATGTATCTACTGATGCACTGGCACTCCAAAGTCTGATAAACCATTGTCTTTTTTATTTGGTGTGATCAGATCAGATACATTTCTGCTTTTCTGAAATAAGAGGAATAGAGTTCCCAGAGTACACCTGATGTTACCAAGCTACGGCTGCGTCTCAATGGTCCAAAATGGTTCATCTGAACTGACCGAAGGAGACCGTTGAAAGTAAATTCCACCACATTAGATCACCTTGCCTGTATTCAGATTAGTAAAGACAAAAGAGGGAAGGATACCAAGAGCAAAATCCGCCATGTTGAGATGCCTGCCAAGACATGATCGCTTCTCACACGTCTCCTCTCTGACGGTTTTCTATACTTGTGCCGCTAACAATATTTTTGACCCAATGTGGGAATTACCAATTATCACAAGCCTAATTTCACAGTATCTCAAGTTGACACAGAGTTACAGATGAACAGAATGGACAACCTATTAGCGTGGTTGAACACAAGCATTTCGATGCACACTTTATTCATGCTGCAAAGTGTGTAAGTGACAAATAAAATTTTATTTGATTTAGATGCATCTTCTAGTGATATCAAATAGGCCCCTCAATGCCTACGTACCTGGCCGGCCGGGACCACGCTACCTACCTGGTCGGACCTACCTATCTGGCCGACCGGACCTATCTACCTACCTGGACGGCCGGACCTACCTACCTACCCAGCCGGCCGGACCTAACTATCTACCTACAGTGGGGAGAACAAGTATTTGATACACTGCCGATTTTGCAGGTTTTCCTACTTACAAAGCATGTAGAGGTCTGTAATTTTTATCATAGGTACACTTCAACTGTGAGAGACGGAATCTAAAACAAAAATACAGAAAATCACATTGTATGATTTCTAAGTAATTAATTTGCATTTTATTGCATGACATAAGTATTTGATACATCAGAAAAGCAGAACTTAATATTTGGTACAGAAACC